ACTTCTGGAAGTTGAGGGTGAAGAGTTGCTCCTCACAGAGGAGGGGGAGCAGTGGCCTTCAGTATTGCAGAGATAACTCTACAGGAGAAGATGGTAGGGGAGCGTTCATCTATGGGTGACGCTTAAGACATTCCTGGTTTTCTGCTTTCTCCTTCTATAACTGTTTGCAAGAGATTTGAGGATACATAGGGGCTGTGCAGTGGATGGGTTCAGGCTGGATCTTAGAAGCTGGAACCTGAGGAGGAGCCTTGTTCCTTAGAGTGACCATGCATAGACAGAGCAAGGGGGTGATAGGAAGCCATGGCCTGAAGCTTTTGTGGGGAGATGAAAGGAGGGCAGTCTGCTTGACTGCCAGGGCTCGGAGAAGAGGAGGGGCTGAGAAAGGGTGTGCTTATTGGCTTGGGCTGCCACAACTGTCACAGATCAAGGGGCTTTGGCAGTTGATGAGCATTTCTTCTCAGTTCTGGAGTTCAGAATCCCAGGGTTAAGCTTTGGGCAGGTTTGGTTCTTTTGAGGCTTCTTTCTTTGTCCTTCTCTCTGGGTGTGGTGGTGCGGGCCTGTAATCCCAGCTTTTGGGAGGCTGTAAATAGGAGGATCACTATGAATCCAATCTACGTAGTGAGACCCTATAGACCCTGTACTAAATACATAAGAAAAAAAGGCACCCATTAGACTGAATTATGACCACCCTAATGGCCTCATTTAGTTTTACTCCCCTCTTTAAAGCCCTTGTCTCCAAGTACGGTAACTTTCTAAGGTATTAGGTGTTAGGATGTCAACTTACCAGTTTTGGAGGAGGACACAGTGACAAGAGAAGACAAAATGTAGGCAAAGGGGTCAAGGAGAGACAAAGGCGGTGTGAGCATCCAGGAGCAGGGTGGGCACAGCTGAGAGGGATGCTGATGTAGATAGGTAGGGTGCTGGCTGAGTTGTGTGCAGTCAGCTTGGTCTTCCAGAATGGTATGTGGGGCACCTGTGTCCAACAGCCCCTTATACACTCAGACCCTCAGACATTCCTGCCCATCGGACCTGCCTCTGCCAGGAAAACAGATACTTCCACATTTGGATCCACTCTTAGCCTGGGAATTCCACCAAGATGTATCTCTTCAGGATCACTGTGTGGATGGGGCTTCATGTCCCCTCCTCAGCTCTCACCCTCCCAGGGGGTGTAGTCTGTTTAGGGCAAGAAAAAACTCATTTGGTTGTTTTCTCCCAGCAACAGAGCACATCTCACTGACCCTGCTACAGAGCGACAGGGTAAAGGGCGACATCTTCCCAATCTCAGCGCTCTGTGCTTTTGCTGTACTCAGTTCCTCCTTTAGGAAGATCATTAGGCTTTCTCCCCATCTGAAAGAGGTTACCCGAGGAACTCTTTTCACAGCAGGATTAATGCAGGATGGGCTGTCTCAGCCTCATCACTCCTCAGTGCCTGGAGTTTGGCCATATGTGTGTCTGGCTCCTTGTTCCCAGAGCACCCTGTAGCCACATCATCATCGTTTATTACCTCTGGACCCCCGAGTCTGGCAGTGAGAGCCATTTGTGCAGGACAAAATTAATGGCTTTGTTTGGGAGTCTCAGATGAGAGATAGAGGGGACAACGTCATGGAACTTGATTTTGGGAGAGAGTTTGATGTATCATCTCATAAAATCTTGCTCACCAAATTAATTCAATGGTCAGGTGGCCTGCATGCTGGCCAGTGACCCCAGCAAAAGTCAGAGATGGGTGAGATGGTCAGGAGGCTGCCATGGGGCACAGAGGCAGAATGGCTCTTAATTATATGCTTGTCTGATGAGCAGGACAACCGGCTCATCAATAACTGTTGACAGCTGAAGGCAGGTGAGGCACCCACTGGAAGGAAAATAGGGCCAGTGAGCTCTGAATAGGTCTCCTGAAGCCCCGTGACTCTGCTTCCCTGTTTGTCCTGCATTGTGAGGCCATGTAAACATCTAAGAGGGCAGGATGCTCAGAGATACGTTCCCTGCTGATTTTATGGCGTGTCTACTTGCTTTAGTTCTTGTTTTTTTTTTCTGTGTATTTTCCTAGGGCTGGGTGCTTCTGTTGTGTGTCTCTGTCAGGGCAATGTGTACACTTAGGCAAAGTGCATACACTATACTCCTCTCTGAATGTGTGCAGTAATGGTCCTGAGTGTGTGTGTGTGTGTGTGTGTGTGTGTGTGTGTGTGTGTACACAGAGGGCAATTTGGATTCCAAAAGTGGGAGGAAACTGAGGGCCCTTTCTTCTTCAGGTGGGGCTGGGTGGGAAGCAGGAGGATGATGAGCAGCAGATGAGCCCTGGGCGAGCTCCTCCCTTTTACCACATATCCCACCCCACCCCGTCTTCCTTTAACTTGTAATAAGGAGAAGATGATGCTATTTCTTATTCTTTATTTGCCCAGAATGCTTGTTATTTTCTTTCTTTCGGAATCCAATTTTCTCTTGACATTTCTGCCTAATGTAGCAAAGCATGACCTTTGGGAGAGGACATTGCTGGCAGCCTGGTCCCTGCCTGGGGCTTCCTGCTGCTCCTCTCTCCTCTGTGTTACCTGGACAGCTCCTGTCAACCTTCTCCCATTGCTTACCAGGGGCTGTGCCCCAGGACCCTCTTCACCTGGGGTTTTGGCTTGTGGAGCCCCTGAAAGATGGTGCTATTCAGCTTCAGACCAGGGATTTTGTGCTAGGAAGCTAAAGGTAGAGTTCACTCTCTTTCCCAAGTTCTGACAGGATTCCATGATGGATGTAGGAGTCTCGGGCTTGTCCAAGGGTATAGCTGTACACAAACAGCAAACCAAAAATAACAGAGAGAAAAATGTTGCTACCTGAATGATTCACTTCTCAGATTGATAAACATGTCATAAAGGCTGATGACAACAGAGACTCAGAGAGTGGTGCTGAAACCTGTTGTCTTCAACCCAAGTCTGGGCTGCCATCCCAGTAGCTAGGGGGGGGCTGGTGACTGGGAGGCATGTGCCAGGCCCTCTGTGCCACACCCTAAGTAAGAGAGGGGCCACTGTAGAGAGTGTGACCAGTGATGTCCTTAATCAGTCATCAGTACAGTGCTTCTGTCACTCTTCCTGTATGATCTGTGGGGAAAGTCTGTGTGGAAGTCTGCAGGGATAAAACATATGGTCACCAGATGTTCTGGGAAGCAGAGCATTATGGGTAGCTTAGGTTTATAGCTTTAGTGAGCATGTGCTGCCATATCCTGCAAAGGAGAGGTAGATGAGTGTTTGGAGCCATCACAGGCTAGCCAGAGCCTAGCCATTTCAGGCCAATTTATGCCCAATTAACTTGCCATAGATAGGCTGGACAAGTTGAGTGTGTGAGGGGGACAGTCTGCCTCTTGGTTGCTCTTGTATTTGAGTATCTGTTCTTGTTATGAGTTGAGTATATTCTTCTCCTAGGTGAACTTCAGTCCTATCTATTAAACAGACTGTTTGGTTTTCTTCATGGCCTCAAGAGGACCATTTGGGAGTCTTCCTCATCTCGTTAGGTAGCTTTGCCACTCGCCTAATCTCTTGGTTTCCTCACCCACCTCTCCAAGGTTGTGTCCATTTCTAGTTGCTTCATATACTTATCTTGAATCCATCCACTTAGTTGTCTATCCATTCTTCTCTTTGTAACACTGTAGCAGCCACCTAACTGTCCTGCCAGCTTCTGGTACTGTTTTTCCAGTTAAAAACATGGTAGTTAGACCATGCCCCTTTCCTATTAAAAACCACCCATCACCTTTTGAAATTTCCCATCACCTTTTGAAATAAAATCCAATCTTCTCCTAGCACCACAAATCCTTGGCTCAGCACAAATCCCTCTCCACTCATCTCAGAGCACCACCCTATCTTTCCACTTATCTGGTCTCCTTGGCTATGATTCCTCCTGGGCCTTTGCATTCACTACTTCCACCACCCAAACTTCTCCCTGACACTCATTCAGCTTGTTTTCCAGTTTGTCTCAGGCCTCACATTGGCTTCTCAGAAGGCACTTTGCTCAGCACCTGTCTGAAGTTACCTTCCCTCACTCCTACATCAGTGACTTATGTAGTTCTCTGCTGTTCTCCTCTTCCTGGTTAGTCACTTGTAGCTTGACTATAAGGCTCCAAGGGACCTTATCTTCCCCCTCCACAGTCCACCCCCTCACTTCTCTGTGTGGCCTACATTCCACTCTCAATTTGTATCCTCTGTAGAAGCCATCTAAATATAGGTGCACGTGTGTGCATATGTGTGAGCATAAACAAAAGCCTGTGTTTGCATCTATTACCTACCTGTTTAACAGACACAAGCATGCACATGCTTGTGTGTGTGGACAGACATTTACTTAAATGGTATCGGCCTGCCTGCTGCCCATTCCTGTCAGCAGACCAGAACGGTGTTTCTGGGGTGCTGCTTCTGCCAGTGTCTGCTGCCTGTAAGGGCTGTTATCTCATCAAAAGTTGTTTGTTGAGGCTGGCAAAGTAATAACTGTGGGTGTTTCTTCTTTTGTTCAGGAGACTAATGGCTGCTCCCTTCCCCTGTATGTCCTAATGAGAACAATTAAATAGCCATTAGGAGACAAACAGACGTGTGAATAGAAGGCTGATGTCTCGAGCTCATGGATTGGCATGTTTGCTGGGGAGGCGCAGCTAGAAGGAGTTGGGTGACCTGCAGTTTTTCCCAGTGCAGTGTTAAGGATGTTTTGGTGTTCAGGTAACCACCAAAGTCTGTCCTCCTTGAGAAGGGTGTCTTCAGAATTCTTCCTGAACTTTTGCTCTTAGGAGAAACCATGGGGCAATGACCAAGAGGATTTTATTGATTCCTTGATTTCTAAGACAGCCCTAAAAAAGACTTCAGACTTCTCTCCAAACCTGATCTGTAGCCTTAATGACAACCAGATGTATTGGTAGCAGAATAAAGCAAAGAAAAAGAAAAAGAAGAAAGAAAAAGCCAGGCACCAGTGAAATGGCCAAGCTCCAGAGGGTGAGCAGTGTGATCTGTCCTTTAACTCCCCTTTTTTTGTCCATCTTGCAGAAACCTATCAAGTAACCGACTCACCACGCTCTCATGGCAGCTCTTCCAGACGCTGAGCCTTCGGGAATTGTAAGTTTGGATTTGACCACTGTGCAGATGGTGAAGTGGTGGTGATGGTCAGGTGGGGAGAAGTGTCTAGACCTGGAGCTACCTGGAGGCTGGTTGCACACTGAGGGGCCGCTTGGTTTGGATGGCCTCCAAGGGCACCATGTACACTGAGAACCATCCACCCCTTGCTTGATTTCTGATGCTGTTTCTGTGAACACTGCATGTCAAAGACAAAATCTCATCTTTTGTGGGGGTTTAGTTTTATGATTTGTAGACAATCATAAATATTAATGTTAATATTTATCATAAAGAGTATGCATCAATTTAAAACAAATGACACACATGTTGTATAACTTCATAGGTTATGAGATATGCTTTCGTTAGATTTATCACCATGAGAGTAATGGGAGATACTCTGCATTTCATGCATGAGAAGTCTAAGGTCCCTGAAAGACATTCAAAGCTCAACCCTGACTGCATTATTAGGGACTGGTGGGCCAGGACTTGAACCCAGGCCTTATAGCCTCAGACTATGTCTTTTTCAACACTCACAACCTCCTGTGAGCTATTTTGGCTTGAGTATGGGCCTCCTGGGAGCTGGCAGGAGGCAAGATACATTGATGTAATCTGCATGGGAACTGCTTAGCCTTGCTGTATTCCAAGGCTAATGAATGCACCCCTACTCTGGCCAGTCATTTTGTGCAAACAAATGTTGTCTGGATGAATGAAAATTCGTGACCATTGCTGGAAAAAAATAACTCATGTTGATGTATGAGTCACCCGGTCATCTCTGTGCATGAAGGACAGCATATTATGTTGAGGAAATAAATCAGGGACTAAATTGGAAAGGAACTGAGGCATGGGTGAGGTGAAGTGACCAGGGTTTCAGAGATGCTAAACATATTTCTAATTTACTTGATGACTCAGATCCAGATTCATGGAATGCCGATTGCTTTGTTGTTGTCTCTACCAAGAAGCAGTGACCTTGGACCTCTGTCTAGGCTATTGGCCTTTCCACATGTTCTTCGTTCACCTAGAAAGAACTTTGTCATGATCTTTTGTGTGTGGACCAGCTGGTAGAAAGGAGAGTATTTATATCCAGTGTCCCAGTGGCTTTTCATTCCGTGACAACCTTGTATACTACCTTTATCTTTTTGGGCCTAAGTGTCCATAGGATGCACGAGAAGGTCACTCTAAGGATGGGATGGACAGTGCATGGGTCTTTCAAAGTGTTTGGATTTTAGGACAGTACTGCTGTGGGTTGATTTCCACACTTAGGCTTGATCATGCCTTGTTACCAGGCTGCTACTCTGATCTGGTTATCACAGGCATCCGAGTTCTTATTCCCCTATGGCTGAGATCCAGGTGGACATCACTAATAACTCCTACCCATGCTGGGAAAAATAGATCATGTTACAGGCACCTAAATGTCAGACTGTAGCACTTTCTGTGTTGCATTCATCCACATCTTTGTGGGTAGAAAAGATCTTAAAGGTAAATTAGTAGGAGTGCTGTAATTATTGCTCACACTGATTTCTGAGTTCCTTCTTGGTGCCAGGCAGTGTTCCAGGTAATCTACTAAATTATGTGTGTTATTTAATTTAAGCCTTATGACAATTCTGTGAGGTAGGAATTATTACTACCAGTTCACCTTCAAGGACACCAAAATGTTTAGCAAGGTTAAGTATCTTCTTTAAGGGCACCCATAAAATGGTAATATGTAGGTTGAAAGCTTTGACCACTCTGTTCAACTGTCTCACAAATATTTTAAATCTTTCTCCAATGCAAGGATCTCATCTACAATAATGTTACAAAACTGTATAGCTGGTTCTTCCCTAAATTATTCTTGAACAAATTGGCAGAGCCAGGAACCTCTTTCTTGACTATCTTGTATCTCTTTCTCCTGGGATTCTGTCCCTTCATCTAGGGAGACCAGGGACAGTGTCCTTTCAGGGGATATCTGGGGTCTGCTGTTTTGCTGAATTATTGAGAAAATGTTCAGTGTTCTTTCTAAGAAATCATTGGATGTGAAATCAATGGTGTGCTGCCCTGGTGACCTGTTTCACAGAGATTTAGAAACAGTTGTTCCTTGGATATATATTTAAAGAAAATGTCAGATTTTTCTCAGAGGATCATGGGATTCTGCATTCATCTTTGCCTGGGATCAATACACTGGTGAGCTAGATGTAACTTATGGAAGAATGAAGACATTCTTTCCAGTTTGAGTCAGTGCATGAGTGCTGTTGTGTCAATGGAGTATTTTATTTTTGTCATATTGTTAAATAAGAAAAAATTATATTGGAGGATAAGGAAGCCCCCCCAAAGAACAGTTGCCCTATAAGAGTCTTTTTTATGAAGGAAGCATTAAGTGCTTAGAGCTGAAAATTTATCTTCTGGCTGGAGGGGCCATACATTGGCTTTTAGCTGTGGCTATGATTAAAATCCAAACAATCCCAGTTCCTGGCAAATGGAAGAGGGGGTAGTATTTTTTTCTCTGACTTGATTAGCCCACATGGCGCCATCTGCCATGAACTGTCTAGATTGCCAGAGTCTGCCCAATAGAGCCTGTTGGCGGTGGTATGTGGGAATGGGTTTGGTATTTTCAGGAAGAAATAATTTGGACTTTGGAGAAGAGAGGATTCGACATGCAGTGGTGGCCAGGAAAGTCCCAGGCCAGAAGTAGACAGATTCTAGTGATCAACTTCAGGGATAGAAAGACAGGGAGGACATTTCTTGCTTTCTCAGCCTATTTTCCTTCTATCACTGAGAATCTCTGCTATGTCTTCTAACAGCTTCTTCCTCACTAGACAGTCCATTCTTGATATCAGAGTTGACACTGATGAGGTTCCCCATTAGAAAGGCTCAGTGTCTACTACAGTTCCAGTAGGACAGGAGAAGGAAGAGGTACATTTTGAGTACCTAATGCGTACAAGGACCTGTCTCACCCTTGGAATAGTCCCATAGGGAAGCATCATTTTAACCATTTTGACAAATGAAGGATGTTAGGCATGGCTAAGTTAAACAAGTAGCCATAATCACATGCTGTAAATGGTAAATCTGGAGGTGAACCTTATGATGTTTGGCATCACCGTCATTCAGGTCTATTGGTTCCAATAACTGCTCTTTCAACCCAGCAGTGCATCCAATAATACTCTGCCTCTCCTTCCAGAAGCCACTTTGAAAGTGATGGCTCTTCTGAATGACATCACAGGATTTGAAAAAATAAGTTGGCTATGTCAAGCCTTGCCATATTCCAGAGCTGTCCCTTACTTTCTGTTATTGGGAATGTCTTGGCAGGTACCTGGTTCATAGCCTCCTTGTCTATTCTTCTCAGGGAGCAAACTAGGAACCTCTTTCACAGCTTGCTCTGGAGTAGCTAGCAGTATTTCCACAGCACACATTGGAAAGAATTTGGCTTGATATTAATCTCCTAAGTTGCTGCTCATGGGAAGATTTTTTTTTTTAACCTTGACAAGAAGACTGGAGCTGCCTGTCTGAAAATCAGAGCTAGAATTGGAGAGATGATGAACAAATCAGGAAGAAAGGAAGCTTGGATTCTCCCTTGGTACCATTTTGCAATGCAAAAGGCACCAGAGGATGTTAGTCCGCCTCTTAGAAACCCTCTGGAAACCCCCTAAGGACCATCAATGCATCTCAAGCAGGGTTCTCTTAATACCATGCATCCATAGAACAGATATGATTAAACTAGATTGGAATATTTCATTTTCTTAAAGCAAAGTGATAAGTAATTCTGATATAATTTGCAGATTTAATCAACGTGGTAAAATATTAACTCCATCTCAAATGGGTTTGGGCTGACCCTGGCACTTTGCTCCTCTGAGTCTTGGCTGTGGCCACTCTGAAACTCTCACAGAAGTCACTAAACAATCAAGTTAATAGCAGTATTACTGTAATAATAATAATTGCTGGCCTTTTTAAAGCCTTCTTTTCACTCTCAATGCATATTAATGTATATTATTGCTAATTCTCTCAATCACTTTATGAAGAAGCAACGTCAAGTGCAGTCATGCCCATTTTATGGGACTTTGGAGAATTCAGTTCCTTGTGCTTCCCAGGAGCCCCCTTAACATGTTATCACAGACTGGGTGGCTAAGCACAACAGAAAGCGATCTTTCCCTGCTCTGGAGGCTGCCAACATCAGGCTGTCAGCATGGCTGTCTTTCCTTGAAGATTTCTTCCTGGTCTCTCTGAGCTCTGGGGGGCTCCTGGCATTCTTTGGTTTGGTGGGAGGGCTTTGCTCTTGTCTCTCCTTCAGTCTCACATCTCTGTCTTTCATCCTTCTCTTCATGCTCTTATGGAGACCCAAGCCACTGGGCTTAGGGGTCACTCAGAATCCAGAAGGACCTCATCCTTTGATCTTTACCACGATTCCCTCTGAAGAAGGTCACATTCACAGGAACCGGAGTAAGGGCTCAGATGTACATCTTTTTGGAGGATCCAGTTTAATCCATTATATTTGCTCATGGTTATACAGTTGGCTCAACTCAGATCTTTAGTTTATGTATTTTTTCTCCACCTGGCTGCTTTCTCTGGGAGGCCTGGGCTGTGTTCTTTACTCTGTGACAGTAGTACTGCCCTTGCTGATTTGGGTCCTCTGCCCACTTTCCGCCACTGGGCCAGGATTGCCACTGGCAGCACTGATGCTGTGAAGGGAAGAAGAAAACCATCCAAGTGCTGATTGCAGAGGAATCAATGGTTTCTAAACACTCAAGCCATGGCTTGGCTGTGCTGCCAAGCACTTGCATGCCCAGGCCCGACTAGCTGGGGCTGAGTTAATCTGTGGGAAGCCCCAGGGTCCTGCGATTGGGCCGTGGGCCAGCTTGGGGCAAGGGCTGGGTGTTGTTTAGCTTTGCCCTGAAGCAGTTGCTGCTCTATTATTCATGGGGCTTCCTGCATTATTAAAGGAGCACAGAGAGCCAGGCTTTAGGTCTTGTAAGTCAGCCCTTGGCTGAGGCCTGTCTGCCTGAGCCCTGATTTGATGGGAGAAGGCACCAGAACCG